TTTTGCAACAAAAATGACTGCTAACCTAGCAATTATATTTGCAGGACAAGTGACCCAATTCCAAACAAACTAGAAGACAACTGCTGTGTGTTCAGAAAATTACTCACTTTCTGATTCCTCTCCCACATTACTTTCTATTGCTGTGATCCCAAAGCACATACTGTCATATTAGTCTAGTATCTAATTTGCCAGCATCATCAACTTCATGGTTATGAGTCATGATTTTTGAAACACAAGCCCCAAATTGTCCAACTGGTGTGAAAACAGACCAGTGGTGATGAAGGTCATGGTGAAAGGTCCTAAACTCTCTGCTGAAATTTAAAAGACCATGTCTGAGATGATGACAATGTGGCTGGATGAAGAGTTAATGAAGCACAAGAGTGAGGCATCAGACCCATTTAACCCTACTGCAGTGGTGGCAGAGTTTGAGAAAAGGGATGATTCTTTCCAATGAGCAAGAGTTTGACTCCCTTTGGAAGAGGCAGGGTGTCCAGTGACCCATCTGAAAATGTGATTCAGCTACAATGACTCAGATTTAAAGAGGACCAAAACTCTCCTGGAGCAAGAGGAGACATCATGCCTGCCCAGGACATGCTGGGCCACAACGTCCAGCAGCAGAAACCCATTGGACATTGTTGACACTCACCATCTCCAGAACTAGAGTTGCAGAGGAGGCATTGGTTAGTACAATATTTGCTTTCTGGAGTCACTCTAAGTTTGGAGGTTTGAAAAGACTCAATGATGATGACCCACCAACTTTTTGTGGGAGAGATATTCTAAAGGAAGTACCACAAAGTGGAAACCTCTCTGTGGGTATTTCACATTCATGCAATTCTGGGGAACATGTTACAAAAATTTTGCAAATCTTCATAAGGATCTAAACCTTTCTTACCCAGCAAGTGGCCCTCTGTCAATGTAAACTGCACAGTGGTTGCTTGGGGCCCATGTTCTGTGGAGGAGGAGGAAGAGGACATGCTGCAACTATCTGGATTCTGGCTTAAGTCCCAAGACACAGTTCTTGGTTGGAAATCAATATGTCAGGCCTAAATATCAAGATAACATTTCTGTTCACCTGTGAATAAGCTGAAGTTTGTGGAACTACTTTTTCTCATAGCACTTTATTTTGAATGTTGTTGGCTTGTGCTGAGCATTCTTATTTGAGAAAATTATTTGTTTTATAATATCCTTGAGCTACAACTCAGTCTTGAAAAAATGCCATAAAATTGGTGCCACTTTCTTTTATTTATTCAACTGAATTAATATTGTTGTATTCTCATTTTAAATATGTGTGTTTACCTTAATTCTTTTTGGCATTCCAGAAAAAAAGTAATTCCAAAACAATTATTTTCTTGATAGAACTTTTCCTAGAGATTTTACCAAATAGATAATTTTAGGAGTAAAATTTACTGTGTATGTATCCCACTGGAAAGTCACAAAGGTTCTTAAACTGTTTTTTATAGATTCATTTTAAAGGACTTTTAAAAACGTTGTTTGAAATTTCTTGGTTTTTGTTTTTATAAATGTGTCAGAGTTTCAAAGTATATTATTTTTCAAAGCCATTTAGTTTTATTTCAGTAGATAAGCTGTAAAGTGACTGGAAATTTTTATTTTTTTGGTACCAGGGATTGAAACCAAGGTCGCTTAACCACTGAACCACATCCCAGCCATTTTCTATATTTTATTTAGAGACAGGGTGTGGGTGAGTTGCTTTTGCTGAGGCTGGTTTTGCACTCACATTCATTCTGCTGGAGATATTTGAACTAATGGGATTTCAGGCATGCACCACTGCTCTAGGCTATGACTGGGAGTTTTTCCTTGTAAAAAGTGGGCTTGTCCTTTGTTGGGCTTCCAGATGGCCTTTCCAGCCTTGGCTGTCACAGGAGGCAGGAGCAAGTCTCAATTCACTATTCCCACTCTCCTAAGTTGCTGCTGAGCCAAATCACATCTTACAAGAGAAGGGGGATCAGAAGAGGGCAGTGTGGGAAATTGGTAAGGAACTTGCCTGTGTCCCTCCAGGGACTCTATAGAAAGTATAGTCTAGTCGTGCCAGCTAGTTGTGCCAGCCCTGCTCTCTCTAGACTCCACAGCCATTCTGTAAAGGTGACACACCCAGAATCAGCCAGGGCTGTTGCAGCATGGTTGTGCTAATACACCATCCACACAGACAATGTCCTGGCACATGCCTCATACTCCCAAATTTGCAGTTCCATAGGCCCACTTGTCTCAGGCCACCGTCTTTGGCTGCTTTTTTGCTATGAGAATTATAATTTTTAAGTTGAATTGCACCCCAGGTTGAATTAATCCTAACTGGCTTCAGACAAGGGTGACATGACTGTCTAAACTTGTTTCTTGCACATCAACTATCACTGAGTCCTTGAACCCATAACTTTATTGAAATTAAATTAATATGTGGGAGTATCATAATCCAAGCCACAGAAAAAGGACACCAGCTTCTTCACTAAAATTGATATTAATCAGACAAATTTCAAACTAACAAAGGTATTATTCAGTTTTCAAGATTGAATTTCTGGGAAAGCAAGACTACTTTAAAATGAATAAAATTTCTCCAACTCCTTCATTTCTGAATTATAGGTCTAGAACTTCAGAAAATACTTTAGTAATTATGGGTCTTACTAACTCTTAGGAAATCATATCCACTGGCAACTAACAAACTCGCTAGACCACGCAGAAATGTCTCATTTTTCAAGTACCCAGCCTAGTAAAGAAGGATAGGAACAGTTGCATTTTATCCAGACGTACATTAGTTTATTGCCCCCACCCCTCACAAAAAAATGCTTGTCCTTGATTCCACCAACCTCAAGTGGGCAAGTAACATCACACAGCTTTTTCTCAGCTGGCTTTCTTTTTCTTTCTTTCTTTCTTTTTTTTTTTTTTTTACCAAAAATAAAACCAGGTGTTTGCTTTGTGTCCAAAATACTTGTTTCAAATTATAGAATAGTCGTGATTTGACCACAGCACTGTACATGTGAAAATCCAAGTACATTAGCTTGAAAGGGTATATGATCAGTCTATATACAAGTATTGTGTTTATTTGAATAAAAGTGAAAAGAACAACCCCAAAATAAAACAAAATACAGACCTGTAAAAGAGACTAATATGTTTAGACATAGTTTATTATTGCTGAGAGTTGCTATTGCTCTTTCCTAAAATGGCTGTAAGTGTATATCTAATGAGGTCCAACAAAGTTCAAAGTAAGGCCTTTGAACTTTCTAATATAGCTAAATGATTCCCAATTCTGAATTACAGAATTGCATGGAAAGTTTTTAAAAAAAATAGCTGTACATATGGTTCATAAATTTCAGAATTATTATTTTTTATTTATATATGATAGAGGAATGCATTAAAATTTTTATTACACATTATATTACTCTCACAATTTTTCATATCTCTGATTGTATACAAAGTATATTCACACCAATTCATGTCTTCATAAATGTACTTTGGATAATAATGATCATCACATTCCATTTTGAAAGTAACTTTATATTATGGTAGGAAAATACATTTTATTTTTAAATAAAATATTCAAGTTATAGAAGTAAATAAAATGAGATTCAGGCAGTCAAAGGTCAAATGCTTTCTCTCATATGGTAAAACTAGAGAGAAATAAAATTCAAAATGGGGGATCCATGACAATAGAAGAGAGTTCAGTGGAGGAGTAGAAGAGAATTGAGGGGAACATTGGAGGCACATGAAATGTGAGGAACTGCAGGATCAAATTGACCAAATTATGCTAAGTATATATATATATATATATATATATATATATATATATATATATATATATATATATATAAATACTCTAGAGTGAATTTAGTCTTAAAGAAAGAAAGAAAACAACAAAATATAAGGGAGAATAGTAGAGACAGGGGATCAGGAGAAGGGAGGAGAGGAGGGAGACTGCAAGTACTGTGGATGATAATAGAGCAAACTATATTAAGTGCAAATGTGAATATGTCAAGATAAATCACAGTATTATGTATAACTATAATGCATTAACAAAAACAGAAGGGGCGGGGGCAGTAGCTCAGTGGCAGAGCACTGGCCTACCATGTGTGAGGCACTGGGTTTGATTCTTATTACCACATAAAAATAAATCAATAAAATAAAGCAATACTGTCCATCTAAAACTACAAAAATATTATAAAAAATAAAAACAAAAAAAATCATTAAGGAAAAGAAAGACATCACAAAAATGAGTAAATAAAATCTTGGTTTAAACTTATTCAGTTAGAATGGAGATGTGGAAACATTCATTTATTTGCAAGCAAATAAGCGAATTTTGGAAAATTTGCTATAGATGACAATAAGTCTCCAGCATAGAGAATTTCAGAGTTTGGCTTGCTTACTCAGTCCTTTCCAACTCAAATAAATATGTGAGGGTGGTCTGGGATGGGAATAATTCACAGTAAATACAGCCACTTAAGAAATATTTTGCAATTCTGGTGGTTATAATTATTGGCTGTTTAAACAAAGACAACCGGAGAAAGAAGTAGAGAGTAAGGAAAAGTGATATAAAACAATGGTATTTAATGATAATAGTGCAATTTTATGGAGAAACATGAGACTTAGAGTTGTGGAATAACAAGAAAGGAGAAGAAACCATTGGAGTAAAAGTCTAATAGGCAATAGTAGAATCTAGTTATTGATATTTTATAAAAATCATGAAGAATTAAAAGAAACATAGCAATTTCCCATCCACCTGATACTCCCCAATCACTAAATGTAGGTTTTAGTCAGCATGAATGGGATGTTTTTGAATATTAAGATAGGTGTTTATTAAGTTAATTTTCATAACACCAAGTTCTTAGTTCAGGACTGCATTCCAGTTTTATACTGTTCAAGAGAAAATAAACTTCTGTTCATCTAAAAGATCAAGTGTGTAGTGTGGGGGATCCTATGTGAGATCCATTAATTTTGAACATTCAATTTTCAGAGGGTGCTGGTGGTGAATGCATTCAAATATAGAATGACACTGGTATTTGAGGCTCAGAGTATTTATTGCAAATGAGAAACTTTCCAGTAATGAATGTAGAAACTTTCTAGTAATGAAGAAGACAGAACTCTCTTTTATCAGGAAACAATATTATAAGGAGTTATCTGCAGACTTGGTTACACAAAATACAAAACACAACAAAACACCACTACAAGGTGTTAGGCTCAACATCATCATATCCAGGGTCTTCTTTTCTCAGGACAAATAAGGATGCTGTCTCTTCCATGTTAGAATTGTCAGCTTCTTTGAGAGACTGAGGAGAGATGCCTGGAACAGTAAGAGAATCCTGATTTTAGTGGTGACAAATATGACAGTCCAGAGTCCTCTTGCAACATGAAAAGACTAGTAGAGTGGCTAGAAAATATCTATGGGGAACCAGTACTTTTCTGGAAGGGTTAATAGAGTTATATCACATTGACTATGTCCTACGCATAAGTCTTGATTTGAACAATTAGAAGGAGAATGAGTTAAAAATAGTGAGGAGTGGCAAAGAGATGCAAGTGCTTTCTTGCACACCAGGCTGGTCTGATTCCTTAAGCACTCCAGGCAGAAGATGACCTCTCACAATTCCTCCATACCTCAATAAAATACCACACTTTCTTTCACAGTATTCATGACAACAGCTTGGGTCCAGATGCCAAAGAAGGGCAGCTTAACTAAATTCAATAGTTTCCTTTTCCCAGGGACCACATGACCATGCACAAGTGGAAAGCCCACTTCTAAAATATGACACTATATGTTATTTCAAACAATAAGAGAATTATTCCTTCTAGCATGGGAAATTTCAATATCTCTATTTATGGATATTGTACATTATGGATTAAAGTGGGAAATGTTGATGAAAATAATTGGTTATGTGTTTCATTAAAAATAAATTTTCAGCAATGCAAGGTTGGTCAGCACATGTGAATCAATAAATGCAATCTATCACATAAATAGAATTCAGAACATAAGTTATATAATCAACTCAATAGATGCAGAAAACAATTCATCAACAAAATTTAGCATCCATTCATGTTAAAAATCTCTGAAGACACTAGGGATAGAAGAAAATTATCTCACTCTTATAAAGGCTATACATGACAAACCCAACATCACATCAAAATGAATGGTGAGAAAATAAAAGCATTTCCTCTAAAATCTAGAGTAGGGTAAGGATTCATAACCTTACTATTCCTATTCAATATAATTCTTGTAATATATAGGTATATCAATTAGAGAGGAGGAGAAAATTGAATGGATATAATGAGAAAAAATTCAAATTATCTCTATTTGCAGATGTATGATTCTATACATAGAATCTCTTTCAGAAGAGTTTTAGTGTGGATTAATAAATACAGAAAAGTAGAAGGATACAGGATCAACATACAAAAATTAAAAGTTTTGCTATATGCCAATAATAAAACCAACCAAAAAAATGAAGGAAAATATTCCATTGAAAACAACCTGAAACAAAGAAACGAACAATAACAACAACAACAACAACAACAACAACAACAAAATGAAAATAAACCTAGCTAAGAAGTTGAAAGATCTCTAATAAAATAAAACTATAGAACACTGAAGAACGAATTTAAAGAAGACTATAGAAGATGGAAAGGCATCTGTTGTTCTTCAATAAGCAGATTTAATATTGATAAAATAATTATACAATCAAAAGCAATCTATAGTTTCAATCAGTCCCAATCAAAATATCAATGACTTTCTTCACAGAACTTAAAAAAATGTCCTAAAATTCATATGGAAGAATAAAAGATCCAGAGTAACCAAAGGAATACCGAGAAAGAGGAACAAGGCTGGGGCAACAAAATTCCCATGCTCAAATCATGCTGCAGAGCTCCACTAACAAAAATAAAATGGCATTTTTATGAAAACCAACATGAAAGTCAATGGACTAAAAGTCACAGAGATAAACCCAGACAGATATAGTCATCTGATGCTTGACAAAATCAGTAAAAACATACATTGAAAAAAAAAAAGGATGTTATGATTTGGATGTGATGTGTCTTCCAAAAGCTCATGTGTGAGAAAATGCAAGAGGAGAAACAATTGGATTGTAAGAGCCTTAATTCAATTTTTGCATTATTCCCCTGATGAGGATTAAATGCCTGGTAACTGAAGGCTGGTGGGTTGTGGGTTGAGGGAGTGGGTCCCTGAAGGCATGGCCTTGGGTATATATTGTGTATCTGGAGAGAGGAGTCTGTCTCTTCTTCCTGATCACCATGCAGGCTGCTTCCTTCTGCCACACTCTTCCACCATGATGTTCAGCCACACCTTGAGCTTCAATGAATGGAGCCTACTGTTTATAAATAGATACCTTTGAGATCTTGAGCCCCTGCATAAATCTTTTCTCCTCTACAATTGTGCTGGTTGGGTCTTTTAGTCAAAGAAGTGAAAAAGCTGACTAAAGGAAGGGCAGCAGAATAAAATAGACATTATTATTGCTGTATGTATATACGTGACTGTATGACCAATGTGATTCTGCAACCTGTACAATCAGAAAAATGAGAAATTATACCCCATTTGATTCAAATGTATGAAATGTCAAGATCATTGTAAAAAATAAAAATAAAACATTGATATAAGGTAAAAGAAAACCTGACTAAATAGACTTTTTAACAAATGGGAAAACACTAGGAAAACAAGATATCCATATGTAGAAGAATGAAAGGAGCTCCCTCTGTCTCACCTGCATAAACATCAACTAAAATGGATCAGAGGCCTAGTAATTAGACAAGAATGTTTACAATTGCTAGAAGAAAACATAGGGCCAACTCTCCAATACACAGGCACAAACAGTGTTTTGTTTTTTTTTTTTAAAGAGAGAGAGAGAGAGAGAGAGAGAGAATTTTAATATTTATTTTTTGGTTTTTGGCAGACACAACATCTTTGTTTGTATGTGGTGCTGAGGATCAAACCCGGGCCCAACGCATGCCAGGCGACCTCGCTACCACTTGAGCCACATCCCCAGCCCACAAACAGTGTTTAATAAAACTCCCAAAGCTCAAGAAATGAAACCAAGACTCAATTGGGGCAGCTTCAAATTTAAAAACTTCAAACAGCAAAGGAAACAAGATGTTGAAAAGAGAGCCTGAAGAATGGGAGAAACTCTTGCCACTTATTCTTCTGACAGAGAATTCATATCCAGAATATGTAAAATCAAAATAACTCAAATAATCCAGTCAGTCAATGGGCAAGTGATCTAAACAGATACTTCACAGAAGATGACATGAAAATGGCCAAGAAATATATGAAAAAATTGTTCAACATTCTTAACAATAAAGGAAATGAAATAAAAGTGAGGTTTTATCTCACCCCAGTTAGAAAGATAAGATTCAGGATAAATAATAATCATTGCCTTGTTTTAGGTTATTGTGAACTGAATAGTTTTCCTGATTTTAGTCTCAGCAGATTCATTATTGGAATATTGAAAAGGTATTGATTTTTTAAAAAAAATATATTTATTTTTTTTAGTTGTGGTTGGACACAATACCTTTATTTTATCTGTTTATTTTTATGTGATGCTGAGATTGAACCCTGGTTCTTGAATGGGCTATGCAAGTGCACTACCACTGAGGCACAACCCCAGCCTGAAAAGGTATCAATTTTTGAATGCTGATTTTGTATTCTACTTTCCTGAATTTGTATATAAGTTTTAGAATTCTTCTGATGGATGTGTTTGAATATACTACATAGAGGATCCTTTCTTCAGGAAACAGATAATCTGACCTCTTCATATTTGTATTTCTTTAATTTCTTCTCTTGTCTGATTGCTCTGATTTTAGTTTCAACAACTATATTGACTAGGAGTGGTGAGAGTGAACATCCTTTCCTGTTCATGATTTCAGAGAAAATATTTTTAGATTTTCTTCATTCAATGGGAAGTTGGCTTTGCATTTGCTATACATAACCTTTAAATGCTGAGGTAGCTTCTTTCTCTCCCTAATTTCTTCAGAAGTTTTAACATTAATGGGAGCTAAAATTTATCAACTGTTTTTTTTCTTTATCTATTTAACTGATCATGTGATTCTTATCCTTAGATGTATTTTTTTTTTTTTTGGTGAATTAAGCTTATTGATTTGCATATGTTGAACTACCCTTGCATCCCACTCACATGAAACCCACTTTTCATTCCATACTATCTTGTTCAAGTTTCTTTGAATATGCTTTAATAATATTTTACTGAAAATTTTTGTGTCTGCTTCATTCAGGGACATTGGTCTGTAGTTTTTCTTCTTTGATGTGTCTTTGTATTCTTTTGGTATAAGAGTAATACTGGCTGTATAGAATAAATTTGGAAGTGTTTTCTCCTTTTCTATTTCATGGAATAATTTGAGAAAGATGGGTAAAATTTCTTTCTTAATAGTTTGATAGGACTTCTCTTTGTTGGAGGACTTCTAATTGCTGCTTCAGTATCATTGCTTGATATGGTCCGTTTAGGTTTTCTATATTCTGCTGGTTTGATTTCTACCTAGAAATTGGTTAATATCTCATAGATTTTATAGTTTAGTACAAATTTTCAAAATAGTTCCTAATGAGCCTCTGGACTTCTGAAAATTTTTTACATCTCTAATTTTGTTGATTTGGGTCTTCTCTCTCTTTTGGTTATTTTAGCTAAGGAGAGAGCTGTACTATCAAAAACAGCGTGGTACTGGCATCAAAACAGACATGAAGACAAATGCAATGGAATAAAAAACACAGAATAAGCTCAAATCGATATTTCATCTGATACTTGACAAAGGAACAAAAAACTTACGTTGCAGAAAAGAACCTTTTTTTAAAAAAAAATGGTGCTTGGAAAACATCTCAAAAAGTTAATACCTAAGAAGCACTTAATCTAATTTATAAATGGACAAGTCAAGCTAAACAGGTATTTTTCAAAAGAAGTAATACAAATGACCAAGAAATATATGAAAAGCTGCTTAACATCTATACCAATCAAGGGAATGCAGATCAAAACTAAATTTTTATGTCATCTGGTCCCTGTTAGAATGGAAATCATCAAGGATATATATATATATATAATGCTGGAGTGGATGTGGGGAAAAGTACTCATTCATTTTGGGTGGCACTGCAAATTAGTACAGCCACTTTGGAAAACAGTATAAAAAGTTCTCAAAAGAGTAGGAATAAAACAACTTCATGACTATGTGACTCCTTGGTTTTATCCAAAGAACTAAGCTAAGCATATTGGAGTGATATTAGCATATCAGTGTTGAGGGAAGCACAATTTACAATAGCTAAGTTATGAAAACAGCCTGGGTGCCTGTCAGCTGATGAATGCATATAGAGAATGTGGGAAAATTTTACTCAGCCATAAAAGAGAATTAAATTATGGTATTCCCATATAAATGGCTGGAACTGGAGAACATCATACTAGGTAAATTATACCAAACTCAGAAAGTCAAAAATTGAATTTCCTCTCTTATATGCAGAAGTTGGAGCAAAATAAGGCATGAAGGGGAAGAAAGGGGTAGAATTCTGGATTAACAATGACTTATGAAAGAAAAAGAGAGATCAGTGGAAGAGAGTAATGGGGTTGATGCGAAGGGAGAAAGAATGAGAAAAAGGAGGAACTGTAGAATGAAATCGACCAAATTATGTTAAAGATAAATATACCATGTTAAAGTATATGTGCGTGTGTATGTATATATAATTGTAGATATATAAAACTAATTTATTAAAAAACTATAAATTAACAGAAAGGAAGTAGAGGAAGGGGAGCAGAAGAAGGGAGAAGAAAAAAGTGGAATACGGGAATTAAAATGGAGAAAACTTTATTTTGTGGGTGTATAAATAGTTCAAAATGAACACTTCTATTATGGAGAAATATAATGCACTGATAAAAATTTAAGAATTCAGTAAATAAATGTTGAAGAGGAGGTGGGGATAAAGAAATACACACACATGGTGAGATAGCAAATTAGTATGACAACTTTGGAAAGCAGTATGAAGATTGTTTAGAAGAGTAGGAATGCAGCTACCATATGACCCTGCTATTCCACTTGTTGATATGTATCAAAAGAGTTGAAATCAGCATAAGACTGTGATACAGGTATATCAGTGTTTATAATAGCTGAGTTTATAGTGACCTAGTAATGGAGTCAGCTTAGGTGTCTCTTAATGAATGAATGAATAAAAAATTACACACATACACACACACAATACCCACAAACACACATAATAGACTTCTATTCAGTCATAAAGAAAAATTAAATTATATCATTTGCTGGTAAATAGGTGGAACTGGATAAAATCATGCTAAGTGAAATAACCAGATTCAGGATGATAAGAGTTGAAACTTATCTCTTATATGCAGAAGCTACATAGAAGTAAGAAATAAAAACAGGAGATATTATGAAAATAGATAACAATGGATTAGAAGTGGGTCGAGGGGAGACATGACAGGGAGAAATGGAGAGGATCTCTGAAATGAAATTCTCCATATTATGCTCTCTGTGTGCTTGAATATATCATGATGAATTTTACTTTTATGTATGAATGTAATGTTCTTACTACAAAAACAATAAATACATAGAAGGCAGACCTGTTGATTAAGAGAAGGTAATCAGGGGGAAGGAAAAGGGAAAGAGGAAGCATTAGACATTTAAATGGAGCAAATTATGCTATATGTATTTATGAATAATCAAAATTAATTCCACTATTATGAATAATTATATTGCACTAATAAAAACACTAAAATGCTCTCCAAATTACTTCTCACATGTTTAAAGACAAGAATACTTGATGTTCAAACAGAGGTCTTGGTTTGCTTTGTGAAGAGTGTAACAAAGCCACAAAGTCTCTGTAGATCATACAGACATGTCTCGATCCCAAGAACAGTGTGTGCAGACAGAGGACACAGTATTTACCTCCTTTCAGAAGAAATAAAATAGCTTCAATAAACAGAAAAAGGGAAGAGATGACATCATCTTGGTTTACAAGGCAACTTAGAATCTTGTAGTAAAGGAAAACTGATCATTGATATGTCCAATCCGTCTTTACCATGATAATAATGAAAGACCACTGGAGACAGTTATCCACTTACCTGTATGAGAACACCTGGAACCACCTCCCTCTTCTGAGAAAAAATTCTTCTCCCTCATTACAAATGAAGAAGGATTTTCAGGAACAGGTATCTCTTCAACATCATCATAACCACTGCTTGTGGCAACTGCATGCTGTCCTCCAGGTTCTGAAAATGGGGAATAAGGAGGAAGTGGAAGATATTTGTTAGTCTTGGTGATGTCTTCAGTCTGTTCTAATGAAGAGATTCTATGAGATTCTCATAGCTGAGAAATATAGGTACCATATTCCAGGGCTGTCCCAAAGGCATATATTTGATGTCCATATTCTTAGATCATGTAAATCATCTAAATATTTCAATGTATGAAATTCAAGAATATTTTATTAACATGTCATGCCAAAAAACATCAATAAAACTTATGTTGTAAGTTTTGAGAGAGAGAGAGAGAGAGAGAGAGAGAGAGAGAGAGAGAGAATTTTTTTAATATTTATTTTTCAGTTCCCGGCGGACACAACATCTTTGTTTGTATGTGGTGCTGAGGATCGAACCCGGGCCGCACGCATGCGAGGCGAGGCGCTACCTCTTGAGCCATATCCCCAGCCCCTATGTTGTAAGTTTAATGTACTCTTTTCAGGCATATAATAAAGGGTTGGAAAATATGTACATATCAGAGATTGAGGGTGATTTCATCAAGCCCAAGGAGAACCCAGGCTGTTCATATGGCCTCTGAGGCAAGGGAGACACAGAAGAGAAGCCTGTCTTTCTCTCTCCCACAGATAGGCTATTCTACCAATTTGAATCCCAGGAGGCATGGGTTTCAACCTCCTGTAGTGCTTTGCTGTCCTGAAGATTTAATTTTAAAGAGCACTCCTGGACATGCCTCATCCTAGGAACTCTCCATTTCTACCACTTGGGGAAGGTCCATGATGTGCTCCTTTCTCAGGTCATTTTTAGAGAAGCTCCTCCAATGATTGATAAGTACAGGCATCACACACACTCCTTGTGTTCTAGTAATTATGAAGGTCATTTTTTTGTCTTAGTATTCAATAAACCACAAAATAGTCCATACATCCCTGTATTTCAGGTCTAATCCATATGTTCTCTTTCACCATAGAATTTGTGAGATAATCAAGTTCAAATGTTCTTTTTAAAGTTATGGCCTTGGATTTTAAAATGATATATTTGAGGTATGTCTGTGGCCATATGGAAGTATCTATGGAAATCAACAGATTAGAATCTCATCTTTCCCTTTCTATAAGACAGAGTGGGTGGAGAGAAAAAATAGCTGTGAACCTGAAGGAAGAGATCCTTCCCATCCTAATCATAGAAAGGTCTTCTCAGATGGTAACCTCCTCCTCACCCCCACCATCCAGGGGAAGACTTGTCTCTACTACCTGGGGCAGGTTCAGGGTCTCCATTCTCCTCATTGTCCCCTGTGTAATAGGGTAGCATAGTTGCTGAGCCATCATCAGATATGGTTCCTAGTAGGGAGAAAACATCATAGACAAACACAGGAGGAGGTCCAATGTCAGGGTTCAGAAAATATTTTGAAGCTTTATACTTGTAGAGAGAAGGCTTAGAGCTCCTGCCTTAGAAGGATGCTGATAATTGTTACAGTGGTCCAGGAATATTCCTAAAAGTTCTTGTTCTAAATGGTTTGTCCTCAGGTTGGTGGTATTTGAAAAGGTAGAACCTTTAAGGTGTGAGAACAAGTGGTAGAAATGAAGTTGTTGGGTGCATCCTCTTGAAAAGAATTGTAGGATGCTAATCTCATCTTCTTTCTCTTAATATTCTGGTCACTGTGAGGTGAGGATCTTTGCTCCACTACATGCTCCCAGCATGATAGGCTGCCTTACATGGGCCAAAAGCAGTAAAATATCTGAAAATGGAAGCCAAATCAAACTTTCTTCTTTATAATTTGATTATCTCAGGCATTTTATTTCAGTAATAGAAAGCTACCAAATATGCCATGTGAGGTTGGGTTAGTCATGTGATCTTTGCTTATTGAAGATTCCCACACTGATAGCAAACTCATGCAAACAAAGGAGGCTATGGAACACACCTGGGCTGTTCAGCAGGCTCTCCTTCTCTGGATTTATGGGGTAATCTATCTCCTGGTACAGGACCTCATCAACAGCATCTTCAAAAGTGGATAAGGCTATGGAATGCAGAATGAGTTCAGACATTGCTCCTGGAAGTCTTTCCATTACCAACAGACCATGGGATAGAACTAGATTTCTGTCCACACCCGGATCTTAAACCCAGTCTCCACTAGCACTGCCCACATGGGAAATCATCCTATTTGAGGGCTCCCTTTTTTAACCCAGGATGAATTCATGCCTTTTAAGTCTCCAATCCATGGTAGAGAAGGTAGTTTTTCATATAATGAGAACAAGACTAAAATGTGTACTTAAAAAAAATTGGCCCAATATTCTCGTGCATATTTTCAGGTCACAGAATTCCCAAGTCCCACCTTGGCGCTGTACTCTCCATCTGAGCAGCTGAGTTACCAGGATGATGAGAACAAGAAAGAGAAGGGCTCCCAGGATCATGCAGAGTATCCCAGGTAAGGAGAAGATGCCAGGGACAGGAGCTGAGGCTGAACTGGTGCCTGAAGAAGAAAAAGAGAGATGAGTCTTTAGAGAAGACCATAAGCTCAGAAGAACCCAATTATCACTTGAGTCCTCAGGACCATGAAGTCTCTAGTTCTGACATTATATATCATAAATCTCAGGATATTACCACCCTAGATCCTGCTCTGGGCTGTGTCAACACTCTTCTGAGTCTGGTTTTAAGGGATTTCTATAAATTTAATGCAGGTGAGGCAGTGGAGCTCCCTGAGTGTTACCATTTAACACAAATGATGGCTTCTTCTAACACCTGATCATCAGGCCTACTATAATATGACCGGAGCTGTGTAGACTCCATAGTGCAGAACTCTGAAAATCTGCTTATCTCCTCCATTACTGGGTTTAGAATAAATTTTTTTAAAAAAGCAAACAAACAAAAAACCAGTTACTTCTCCTGGTGGGGTGAGCTGTTGTCCTTTCACCTGGGGAGAAGAAAAGGAAAATAGAATCACTGCACTGTTTTGGTCTGGGAATGTCTCTGGGTCCCACCCCCAACCATTGGCACAAAGTTCTGTCCCAGATGCCAGGAGATTGGGCACAGCCTTCCAGAGCCAGGGCTCAGGGTAGCAGGACAGCCTGGGAAGCCCTTTGGATGCAAACACACTCCTTCAACTCTAGGCCCCCCACCTGGTCCTGCTACTCACCAGAGCACCTCACACCAGCGTCCTCCTCATGCTTGCAGTCACTCTGTCCCCAGGGTGCTGCAGCACAGGCCCACAGGGAGGGCTCCCTGCCCCTGCACTGCACCTCATCCAGCCAGATGCTTCCATTTCCAGGGCCAAATGCAGCCTCCCCTGGGGCTTCCAGGGCAGAGCCACAGCCCAGCTGCTGACACACCACCTCAGCCTCTGCCAGGCTCCAGGAGTCATCACACACAGTGCCCCAGGTGCCTTCATGCCAAATCTCCACTCGCCCTGAGCACTCGCTGTCTCCTCCCCTGAGTCGGAGCTTCTCTTTGTCTGAAAAGGCAGCAGCACCTCCTCTTACTCCCTGGTGGGAGGAAAGGAGCCCCTGGAAGCCATGGGGAAGGTGGGAGGGGATGAGGTACCTGTGCAGGGTGCATTGGCTGGACAGCTCTTGGGTCTGTTTCCTGTAGGAGCAGACAGTGGGGGAAGCACTAGTAAGTGACAGCTGGGGAGATCCTGCCCCCAGATAAGTCTCTCTAATGTCCTAGGCTCAGTTCAGGTAACAGGTGGAGATAAGGTACTTCAGAAGTAGTCTATTAGACTGGGTTACTGAGACATTCATTCTCTATAGCATATTCCTATCAGCAGCTAAAATTATTTTTATCAATTTACCTGTTTTAAATGCCTACTATGTGAAAAAAAATACAAACATGATAATGCACATGCTCATGTATGTACAGGAAAACACACTCAGACACTTTACCCTGAAAGAAAACTCCTCTAGAAAGGGCCCTAGCTTCATTCCCTGTATTCCTGCTAATAGGCAATGCCTGGCATGTTGAGTGCATTCCTTAAAAGTATGTAGGGGTGACTTTCTACAAATGCTATGAACAGTGGTTTGGTAAATATTTAATGATTAAATATATAAATGAGCAAGATCCGCTGAAAAAGAGTTTTTAATTCTTTCAAATCCTAAAGGCAATAAAAGAAATGTAAATTAATGTCAGTGTTTTTTGGTAATAAATATTAGGCATTTAAAACATAAGTACTGAATAATCCTCAAAATAAATTGTACTCAATATCTCTCATATTGTTAATGAAAAATTACAAACATTGAAAGTATTCATTTAAATTAATTGAAACTATTATTTTCAATAAATTAAAAGGTTTTTTACATAAATTATGCAAGCAGATATCAGAGAAAAGTTAATAAGTAAACAATAGTTAGCTGGAAAGAGAAATATTTTCATGGAAAGATAATACACTGAGGAAAATTAATACATGAAAGGACATAGAGATAACATAGAACGAAGCAAAAAAAAAGAATACATATAAATGCAAATTAACATGGACAAAACACACATTCCACTTGTCCTACAACACCTTCATGGATATACATTATTCCCATTATTCTGTCAACCTCCTACACTAAACTGAGAACATCTCTAGATGATGGCAGGACCTGTTTTGTGTGGTTGCTCACTTCAGGATTGGGTGTCTATTTCTCAATATGTGGAGTCTATTGTAAGAAAAAAACATCATCGGTACCTAATCTTATTATTTATTATCACTTTAGACTCTACAGGAAAAAGAAGAAAATAAGGTGAGGAAAGGAAGAAAAAGGAAAAGAGTAAAAAAAAAAATTCTTTTGAAATGTTTACCATCATTTATTTTCTCATCCTTCCTGGATTTTAGGAAGTTCCTAGCATAGGTTTGTGGGCTCTGTTCCTTTTTTGATTTTTGAGATTCTGTATGTTCTTTGACTTTAGTTTAATGGTCAAGTTATAAAAAAATCCCAGTGTATTCTATGAAGATATGAAATACTGTTTGAAAACAATTGCTCGTACAAAGCAATATGATGATATCTGTTTAAAAAATAGATATCCTGTGATCTTGCAACTATTGGCAGTCATCTTGTAGTAAGAACCTACTAGTATGTAGTGTTATATGTGCAAGGATATTTATTACAATATTGTTTTTAGAAGGGAAAAATTAAAAAAAATTATAAATAAATAGCAAAAATGATTATGCAAACTCTACTACTTATCTCTTAAGAATGTAACATTATGAAGTTGTTTTACAAAGGAGTGAGCACTACTTATGGAACTTCCTTAATATATTGTTAAGAAAGCCAATGTAACAATAGTAAGTATGATACAAGCCCAACATTGTAAAACCAAATAAAAAGATACCATAAGATAAATGCTATTATCACTATATTAGTTTAGGTAAAATTCCATGAAAATGGAGAATTGGGAAAAGAGTAACTACCAGTCCATTAATTCTATTTACATCAGGGGAATATGAATAGAAATGTGGCTATGCAATGTCACTAATGTACCTTTTATATTTTAATATGTCTTCCTTGATTTCAATGAGTAATTAGGGTTTTGGTAATTCAGTGTAATAGAAAACATATCATTTAATTCTACACCAAAAATAAACTAGAATGAAGAATGTCAATCCCCTAGTGTCAAATACTTGCCAATCATGTGAAGAGAGCAAAAAATATTACACAGCATAAGAGAAGGTGGGGTGGACATCCCTTTATGCCTCCAGTGCTCTTTGCCCTGAGAGACAACATTACTCATTCCCTTGGGTTCCTCGCATGGTGAGGTTCTTTAGAGTTACTTAGACTTAGAGTGAACCCAAACCCAACCAGTCATAATCTGCACCCCTGAGTCACATCCTTAACCCTGAAGTGGCTCACAGTCTCCTCCCTCTTCCATGGGGAAGTCCTTCAAAGTCTGAGAAAATCAATGTGTTCACTCTTCCTGGCATTTCTGCAAATTAAGGTAATTACAAACTGCTGAGCCATGTTTTCAAGTTGTTTCTGCATTTGGGAGCCACAGAGAAATTTGACAGTGTCACTTCTAAAGGCAGCTCACCTGTGACACAGCAACATATTAATCAACTTGGTAATCAAATGAGCATATTTCCAGCATTATATAGACATTATGATATGGAAGACAAAGATCTCTGAAGATTCTTGGAAGAGTCCAAGCAACAAGTGATCTTTCTGAACTAAGATAGATGAGGGTGGGAAGGAAAGAGTAGAAGGAATTAGGACATGGTTTCTGGTACAGGCCTAGAACTTGCTTCTACATTGGAACTGGAGTGAGAGTGAAATGGAGATGTGAATGTAGACTGAGAATAAGTAACTGAGCAACAACAGTGACATTAACTGGGATGGGGAATAAAAAGGGAAAAATGGGTAGAGGTAGATTGAAGGAGTGAAATAAAATGCTCTACTTTGAAAGCTAAATTTGAGTTATCCATTTATATTCAAGTGAGTGTACAGTAGCAATGAAATATACTAGAATGGATTTAAGGTCAGAGATCAGATATGGACTTTATATTGGGAGCTGTCAGTGGAATAATATCATCTAAGGCCTGGACCCCAATGAGATTAGTGAAGGAAAGAGCTAAGGAAGAATAGAGAATCTAAAATTTAGATATTGAATGAAGAAGTTGCAAGACTAATACTCAGTAAATTAGAGTGACCATGAGGAGAAAACCAAAAAGAAGATAGACAGCTGAAAGTTTCTCTTTTTTCAGTAAAGTTTGAGTGAAGATTATCATTTGTATGTATGATGTGGTTTAAATAGCAATGAGTGGGAGATCAGGGAATTTGTAAAATGTCATGTTAGAGAGAGGGCAAGAGCACATGTGAGAGAAGCACACTACAATATGGGGCCAGTGTGGAGGTCCATCAGAGATTGGATCACAAATTCAAAGAGACTAGCAGGGTAATTTCACATTATAACAGGATACAGTACTTGTCCATGATTCAGCTGTTCTTGCCTAGTCCAGTGCAGGCAGTGAAGTGTTAGGTAGTTGACTCAACTATTCTTCTCATTGACAGATAAAGTAGAAACCAGGGAATTGAGTGTACTTGAAGGGGGAGGATTATAATGGGACATCATGTTGTCTAATCAGGGTAAGAAGAACATGTGCAATACTGAGGAGAGTGGAAGAATGAAAAACTGATAAGGGAAAACATTAGCAATCTGCATGAGGATGAAATATCTGGAAAAGAAGCATAATGAATACGTGCCACACGGAGAAGAGGCAACAGTCAGAGAAGGAACAATGTAAGCAAGATCTCAAGCTGGACAGTTAGTGATGGTCAATAGTGTGGCCATCCAGGGAGATGGGATGTATGTGTAGTGCCTCCAAGGGATAAAGTCAGGAATGGAGGCCAGTATGTTATCTCAGTGGAGTGCAAGTTTCCTGGCAGCACCAGGAACAGGAGACAGAGGAGCCTAGTGAGCCTGGGATTGTAGCATTGCTGGATGAGGAGAAGCAACCAGGATGAAGAGTGACACCAGTTGAAGTGGTAGTTGGTACCACTTCATGGGACAAATTTTAAGCACGTGGACATGGAGAAAAAATAATATAAATTGTTGAAAATGACAAAAGAAAGCGGGAACATTTTTATTCTAAGATTTGACCCAGAAATATTCTTTTGAAAGGGAAGCACAGAGCCTCCAGATGATAAAGATATCATTGTTTTCACAGGACAGCCAGTTTTTTTTTTTTATCAGAACATTAAACTGAAGACACATTATAGGTCTTAAGAAATTGGAATACAATAGCCTCCAATTTCCAACAGGCCCCATAGAATGTTTCCTGGGAGAGGGATGAAGTCGTTCATTTGCAGTAGCATATGGATAAAGGCTCAGAGGAGGGAATATCAACCAAGACGTCTGGGACGGTGAGGAGATGAATTCAATAAGAAAATAAGGGGCTACTAGGATCCTCATCTCACAGCAATTCCCCATAATGTGGCAGACAAGAAGATTAACAGACAGCTTTTCAACAGAATTGGTAACGGGGCCATGGAGAGGAACTGAACTCTTCTTATCCATCTAGATAATCAGGCATCACTCTCCCCAGCTTCTTCCTACTCTGTGCTTGATGGGATTTTATCACTATCTCAAGTCACCAGGCTTCTCACACCTCAGTATTTACACTGACCAAATGCTCTTATTACTGTCTTCATTTGACATCTACTTCCTCCAATGGACTCAACCTAAATGTGATTTCTCTTTTCCTAAAATTACCCATTTACACAGCACCTTCCACTTCTTTATGACACTCACATTTCTGGTTGGTGTGTGTCATCATGCTAGAGGATAAACTCCATGAGGACAGGGGGAGTATTTTCTTCTTGTCTCTCCTCCTCGTGCCTCGAATTAAGTTGCTAGATGCAATTAACTCAATTACTTATCATCAAAAATCTGAACTGAGAGTTTGTCTGACTGATGTAGATGGCTGATGTCCATAAAAGTCCATGGGCTCAAAGATAACTGACTAGTACTGGATACCCCAAGTTTCCCTCACTCTCTTGAGAATATGGGGTGAATGAAGTGCTTACTCCTAATCTTAGTTTCCATATCTGGATTAAATGATCACTATAATACCTATGAGAGTTTGCTGAGAGTTTTAATCTTCATTACATGTAGAAAAAGAAAACACAATCTTAACACTATGACAGGACATAGCAAGTGATTTATATAATTGAGGTAAAATTCCTCACTCTACTAAGGAAATAGAGAATAATTATTTTAGCCTAAGACTGTTCTAGCCATTTGTTACACACTTTTTTACCTTTAGAGGGTAAGTTCATGCTTAATTTAATATGCATGACATTTTCCACATAAATGGCTGTCAGAACAGGTTTACTTAATTCTGTCATTGAAATAAGATTGTAAATTGAGGCTAAAATATTCTCTATTCAAATTTGTATCTCAGAAACTTATTTGAACTTATTCTCTTGGCTTGAAAGTATGAAAACAAAAACTTACAGAGTGAGGACACAGGAATAGGGAGTAAATCACCTGAACACATGATATAAGCTTCCTCCTTTGCAGAGCAAGATCTTTGTTTCCAGGGGTCAGAAGGACACTGCCAGAGAGAGGTGTCCGTTTTCCTACACTGGATTCCATCCACCCAACGTGGTCTAGAACCTTCTCTGAGAGGAAAAGAAGAGTTGAGAGTCCCAGTGTCCCCACAGCCAAGCTGTCTGCAGATCACGGACAAGGTCACAGCTTCCATGGGGCTGTGGCAGATACTACCCCAGGTGTTGTTGTAGAAAACCTCCAGCCACCCAGCACACTCCTGGTCCTCGCTCACCAACCTGAGGGCCAGGAACTCTGAAACCAAGAGGAGGGAAACAGGACACAGTAAGAATTTAATGTTTAGTGCTGTTTTACTTTACCCCTATGTAGTGAGTCCTCACTGCTAACTTTGCTGATGAAATGCCCACCAGGTGGAAAGACAAAACATATATCCCTTGACCTGTTTTGATAACTTGTATGTATCTTTGTAATTCTATGACAATGGTATAGTGGAAAATGTACAGGCAGGAACACTGAAGTGGGCCTCTTGAGGGGAGGGAGGAAAAGCTACCTGACTAAATATCTGACACACCCTGGGAAAAGGGGTGTGGACAATGAGGTGGCAGAACAGTGAAGTCCCAGATATGTCAGTTCCTGATCCTGAAGCTTGTGAATAGGTTACCTTTTGAGGCAAAGGGGCTTTGCAAACAAGATCAAGATGAGGAATTTTTAATGGTGAGATTATTTTATATTATCTGGGATTAATTATGTCAGCTCAATCTAACATCTTTTATCTGTATACTTACAAGCAGACAATGGTTTCTGACTCTGATCATAGAAAGATATGAAGATTAAAAAATGGTCAGAAGTATGCAAGGTAGTTGACTTGAATAGTGAAGGCAAATACAGGTAATTTTTATATACTAAAAAGGCAAGGAAATGAGTCTTTGAAAAGCCTCCACTGAATGTAGCTCACTGACACCTCATTTATAGCTCAGGTGGACTAGGGTCAGACTTGAACTCATGTTGTTTTAAGCCACTAACTCTGTGGTAATTTATTATGGCAGCAATAGGAAACTAATACAGTGGGTCTCAGGATGTTGCACACACAGTAACTGAAGCATGAGGTCTGCAGTCAAATGAACACTGAAGAGAATGATTGTCAGGAGGCAGGGATGAGAAGGAAGGAGCAGAAACTCAGCTGCTGCACCAGGAAATGGAAGCACTTCATCTTTTCTGCTAGAGGGACAGGGAGTGTGGGATGAGCCTCCTCCCCATCCACCCTGCCACTAATTTCCCATCCACTTTCGTAAGGCTCAGATACCATCCAGTATATGCTTCTGATTTCTCCTACCGGTACCCAGTGTGCACCACAGACCTGAGCAGATGACCCCAGCGTCTTCTTTGTGCCTGCAGTTGTGCTGCCCCCAGCCCTGGGAAGGGCACTGCCACACATGGGTCTCCTCTCCTGTGCAGTTCAGCTCATCCAGCCAGATGGGCCCTGATCCCTCTCCAAAGTGAGCAGAGATGGTAGCCTCTAGGGCCACTCCACAGCCCAGCTGTCTGCACACCACATGGGCATCACTCAGGTCCCAGCTGTCATCACAGATGGAGCCCCAGGAGCCCTGCTGCAGGATCTCCACTCTCCCTGCACAGCGACTGCCCCCATCCACCAGGCGGAGCTGTCTGCTGTCTGAGGAGAGACAGGGTCATGTCAGTGGGCATTCACACAGGGAATGGGATACTTGCTCACCTGAGGCAAAGAGGCTTTGCAAACAAGATCAAGATGAGGAATTTTTAACGGTGAGATTATTTTATAATATTTGCTGGGATCCTTGCTCACCTGAGCAGTTGGTGATGTGCCCCTTTGAGGCTGCAGAGTCTGCTGGGTCAGACCAGGAGTCACTGCACTGGGGCAGCAACTCAGTCTGGTTACCTACAGATGGGAGTAGAGAGGATGAAACTGAATTAAGGTACATAATAATCTAGTGATGGCATCTGAAAGCTGTAGGACAAAATCAGTAATTTCCTATCTTCAGAACTGTTCTCATAATGGAGATTTCTGCTTCTGACTCTGACACTTTTTGGGCTATATGTCAAACACTCAGAGTGACTTTAGAAAAGTGACAATATGTTAATGCTTCTTGAGGACGTTGCACAGCTCCCAGGATAGCTAGATGTTAGCAGTCAAGTGAAGATAAAAGTAAAATGTGGGATTAGCTATTTTTTCCCTGGAGGTACTTGCCTATTCTAAGTTAGAAGGTAAAACTGAAAATCTCGCCATATTTGCCTGATTGCCTTGGCCATACACAAATATAATTCAGCTTGGATCAAAGAGGAGAAATCATGTTAAACAAGCAGGAAACTTGTTTTGTATTTTGCGAAAGAAAAAGGATTTTTGTCACAGGGATGGTGCCCAGTTACTCAAAATTTCACTTGTTTTTGTATAATGTGATCTACCTTAAATACATGGATCTACCTTAAGTACATGGAAGGTGCAAAATAAAATCCTTTGTGAAGGTTTTGTATAGTTTCTCAAGAAGCATATTGATCCAAAAACCACATGAAATAGAGTTTAGTAGACAACAAACAGGAACAATGAAAAAAATGGAAAAGATTTTTAGGTATTAATATTGGTGTTTACTTATAGGTGATCTAAATAATCATGTTTAATTGGTCTATTAAATGGCATGATGTGTATATTGGCAGAGAAATGATCACCAAAATATAGTAAAAATTTGCAAGTTAAAAAAATCAAGAGCTAAAAATAAGAACGCAAAGGTGAATCAAAAACATTAGATTATGACAGAATAGAAATTGAAAAGTACAAAAACACAGAAAAATACACAGAATAAAGCACAGAAATATAAGGATAGAAACCATAAACAGGGACTTGAGAGACATGGTGAGAGAACCTAACATTCCTATGTAATCTATAAGTTTTAGATATTTAAGGCCACTATAATAGTGCTAAAAGTACAACTTAGAGAATACACAATTTCAGATATTCAATACACATATAGCTTTAAAACATTTTCACAAAATTTTTGATGCTCTATATATTGACCTCTGGAGTCCATTTCTCCTTCCTTGAATCTGGGCTGACCATTGTGGGCTGTCTATAAGCAATAGAATGTGGTGAAGCCAAAATGGCTTGACATAGAAGCCTAGCTCAGAAAGTCATAGCTCCTTCTCTTTGCTTTATGGCACATCTATTGTATAGAGACTATCATGTGGGAGAGACCATTTGCAGGTGGTTCTGTCAACAGCCCCCTGTTGAACTCCAAGCTACCAGACATATGAATAAACTATCCTGGATTCCCAGCTTGGTTAAGTCTTCAAGTGATCTCAGTTCCCTATGACATTCAAGGGTAACATTATGACAGATCCCAAGAGGCAACAGCCAAGAGGCATTCCCAAATTCATGAGTCAGGTAATGATGAGAAAAAAAATGAAATATATTTTTTATTTGTGTTGCTCTTCCTTTCTCTTTCTTTCTTGCTTTCATTCTTTCAAATACCTAACTTACAGAATAAACATAGAATTTTTAAGGCTGCTAGAAACAAATGTCATATTACAATTAGAGGAAAACCAATTTGCATCTCAGTTGATTTCTCAAACCAGACCCAAAATCTAGGAGGTCTTGGAATAATATACATCAAGCCTTCACAGAAAAAGGATGTCAACCGAGAATACAATACCCAACAAAATTAAGCTTCATATTTGAAGATGAAAACAAAACCTTCCATGATAAACAAAATTTAAAAAAAATCACAACTAAAAATCCTCCACTACAGGACATTCTCAGAAAAATATTCCAGGAAGAAAAAAATGAAAAATAAAAGTGAAAATCAGCAAAGGGAGAAGGGGATAAACTAAATCAAATTAAAGTCCAGAAATAAAACAATATGACTGGGAATACAAATCATATCTCAATAATATATTTAAACATACATAGACTGGCATATTGGATTAAAATAACACAACCCAACAATATGCCTTCTCCAAGAGACTCACCACTCACGCAAAGACATTCACAGACCAAAAGTGAAAAGATGGGAAAAATTATATCATGTAAACAAGTAGGGATTTCTGTCCTCATATCAGGTAAAGTGAACTTCAAGTCAAACCCAATCAGAAGGCACAAAGAAAGACATTTCATACTGCTTAAGGGAATGATACATATGCAAGACATTGCAGTTATAAATATTTATGCCTCAAAAAAGGCAGAATCTATTCACATGAAACAAATTCTTCTCAACTTCAAAAAAGAAATAGATCACAATAGAATAATACTGAGTGAATTTAACATTCCTCTATCACTACTGGATAGATCCTCCAAAGAAAACCTAAAGAAACCATAGAACTAAATAATGTAATCAATAATTTAGACTTTAAAGGCAGATATAGAGTATTTCATCCATCAATGATTGGAGACACTGTCTTCTTAGCAGCACATTAATAATTCTCTAAAATAGACCATATTTTATGCCATAAAGCAACTCTTAGAAAATACAAAAAATTAGAGATAATTCCTTGCTTTCTATCTAGTCATAATAGAATGAAATTAGAAATCAATGATATAATTTAAAAAAGAGAAGCTACTTTAACATCAGAAGATTAAATAATGCACTACTGAATGACCAATTGATAGCAGAAGAAATCAAGGATTAAACAAAAAAATACTTAGGGGAAATGAAAATAATATCACAGCATATCAAAATCTCTGGGACACTATGAAGGCAGTACTAAGAGGAAATTTCATTGCATTGAACTCATTCAGTAAAAGAATATAAAGTAAAAAAAATAAGTAACCTAACATTAAATCTCAAAGCCTAGAAAAAGAAAAATAAATCAACACCAAATTCAGTAGAAGACAGGAAAAAATAAAAATTAGAGCTGAAATCAATAAAATGGAAGCAAAATAAATAATTCAAAAATTCACAAAAATGAAAAGTTGGTTCTTTGCAAAAATCAACATAATGATAAACCTTTAGCAACTAAGACAAAGAGAGAGAAAACAAAAATTACTAAAATTTGTGTTGAAAAAGAAATATCACTGGAATACAGTGATAATCAGAAAGCATTTGGAAAATTTATACTCAAAAAAATAGAAAATCTTGAAGACACTTAAAAATTGCTAGAGACATATGACCTATCCAAACTGAATCAGGATGACATACACAATTTTAACAGATCAATTTCAAGCACTGAAATAGAAGTCACCATGAATAGCCCCCAAATCAAGAAAAGCCCAGGACCAGATAGATTCTCAGCCATGTGCTACAAGACCTTGAAAGAAAATGAATATCAGTTTAGAATACAGTAAACACCAATAGTCCTCAAATTATTCCATGAAATAGAAAAGAAGGGAATCCTTCCAAACTCATTCTATAAAGCTACTATCACACTGATGCCAAAAACAGATAAAGACACATTAAGGAAAGAAAACTTCAGATCAATATCCCTGATGAACATGGATACAAAAATTCTCATTAAAAGTCTGGCAAATCTCATACAAAAATATTAAAATTAGTGCACCATGATCAAGTGGGGTTCATCCCAGGGATGCAAGTTTCATTCAACATATGTAATCAATAAATATAATTCATCACATTGATAGACATAAAGACAAGTATTATATGATCATCTCAACAGATGCAGAAAAAGCACTTAACAAAACACACATGGTTTCATGTTCAAAACACTAGAAAAATTAGGGATAGTAGGAACATCCTCAACATTGAAAAAGTTCTATATGTTAAATCCAAGGCCAACATTATACTAAATGGGGAAATACTGAAAGCATTCCCTCAAAGAACTGGAACAAGACAAGAATGCCCTCTTTCACCACTTATATTCAACATTGTCCTTAGAATTCTAGCCAGGGCAATAAGACAGAAAAAAGAAATTGAATTGATACAAATAGGAAGGAAAGAACACAAACTATCCCTATTTGCTGATGACATGACCTATATTTATAAGATCCAAAAAATTCCACCAGAAAACTTCCAGAACTAATAAATTATTTCTGCAAAGTAGCAGGATATAAAATTAACACCCATAAATCAATTATGTTCCTATACATCAGTGGTGAATACATCAAAAGAAATTAGGAAAACTATGCCATTCATAATGGCCTCAAAATTTAAAATATTTGGGAATCTATATAACAAAAGAGATGAAAGACCTCTACAATGAAAACTACAGATCATTATAGAAAGAAATTAAAAAACAATTTAGAACATGGAAAGATCTTCCATGTTTATGGATAGCAGAATTAACATTGCCAAAATGGCCATACTCTCAATTGCTCTATACAGATTTAATGCAACTACCACTTAAAATTCCAATGGAATTCTTCATTGAAATAGAAAAATCAGTCATGAAATTCATTTGGAAAAATAATAGACCCAGAAGAGTCAAAGCAATCCTTAGCAATAAAAGTAAAGTGGGAGCCATCAAAATACCAGACCTTAAATTATACTACAGAGCTATAGTTACAAAGAGCATCTTGGTTTTGGCACCAAAACAGACAGGTAGACCAATGATACAGAGTAGAAGACACAGAGACAAACCCACATAAATGCAGTTAGCTCATACTAGACCAAGGTCCAAAAATATACACTGGAAAAAAGATAGCCTCTTCAAAAATGGTGTTGGGAAAACTGGAAATTCATATGTAGCAAAATATAATGGAGCCCAAATCTCTCACCCTGCACAAAACTCAACTCAAAGTGGATCAAGGACTTAGGCTTGAGACCTTAAATCCTATGTCTAATAGAAGTAAAAGTAGGCCCAAATCTCCACCATGTCAGCTTCGAAACTATTTCCTTAACAAGACTTCTAAAGTTCAAGAAGTAAAATCAAGAAACCACAAGTGGGATAGATTCAAACTAAAATGCTTCTTCTCAGCAAGGAAACAATTAAAAATATGAAGAGAGAGCCTGCAGATTAGGAGAAAATCATTGTCACCTGCATTAATCTCCAGGATAGATAAAGATCTCAGAAATTTAACACACCCTCACCAAATAACACAATAGATAAATGGGCTAAGGTACTGAACAGACATTTCACAAAATAAAAAATACAATTGGTCAACAAATATACAAAAAGAATTCAACATCTCTAGTAGTTAGAGACATGCAAATTAAAATTACACTGAGATTTCATATCACTTCAGGTGTAATGGCAATTATCAAGAATACAAGTAACACACAATTAATTTTGGCAAGTATATGGGGAAAAGTATACTCATACAATGTGCTTATGCAAAGTGGTATAGAGATTCCTCAGAAAATTTAGAATGAAACCACAATTTGACTCAGTTTTCCCACTGCAGAGCATATACCTGAAGGACTAAAAATCAGTATGCTGTAGCTACACAACACATCAAAATTCATAGCAGCTCAACTGACAATAGCTAAGCTATGGAACCAACATAGATGTCTTTATACTATATATACTATATAAAATATGGTATATATATATATATATATATATATATATATATATACACATTGGAATATTACTCAACCATAAAGAAGAATGAAATTATGCCATTTGGCAGTAAATGATTGAATGGGTGATTATCATGCTAAGTGAAATAAGCCAATCACCAAAAAACAAAGGCTAAATGTTTTCTCTGATATGCAGGTGCTAATTCACAATAAAGTGTGTGGGAGCTAGGAAAGAATAGAGTTACTTTGGATTATACAGAGGAGAGTGAAAGGAGGGGAACTTATATAAGGGTAGTAAGGATAGTAGAGTGAATCAGACATTATCACCCTATGTGCATTTATGATTACATGACTGGTGTAACTCTACACCATGTACAATCAGAGTGTTAGGATGGCCTTAGGCCTGAGCCTAAGCAACTCCATTTTAAAAACTCCAGTTTGAAACCTGCAGTTTCACCAGGCAACACACACAGATCCCTCCAGTACGGCCTCAAACAAGTTACTTCCTCTCACCCTGATAAACAGAGTGAAGCCCCTGGCAGGCTGTCCTCCCCTGATAAGAGGGGAAGGTGAGAAGATCAGGGTGGAGACCATCAGACCAGATGTTTCTGACCCCAGAGTAAATTATGTGACTGAGAAAACTGGTGGTAGCTGATAAAGATTGAAGGGGGGGTCACCCCCCCCCCCCCCAAATTTTAGTATAAATAATAGAGCAAATGAATAGGAATTCAGCCAACTGAAACAAGAATGCACTCCAGCTGGAGAGCCTGATGAGGATCTGACATTCCATCACTTGTCATCATTTCCTGAGCCTCTGTGTGATCCTCTCTGCTCTCAAACTCTACCGCCTTTTCTGGACCTTGGTGAGAGCCGCAACTTCTCCCTACAACCCTCTCCTCAACCGGTCGTCCACTCCAATCCAGGAAAAGCCTGCCTTGGTTCTGGACCTGGTCATCGTGGTCTGAGTGAGTGTGCATCTACTGGACATAAAGCCTAAGGCTTAAGACATTTTGACTTAGCATGCAGAGGAAATGTCTCTCATTAGCCTATCATGATTAGGTGTGTTTTGCAGTGCTTAGAATTAATCTAGAATAGTTTGCTGTGCATTGATTATGTCTATTGTAGTGCCTAGCATTAAGTATTGTTGTTTGCTTGATTAAGAACCTATAGAGTGAAATTGTATTGAGTACTTTTAGTGAATAAAGCATTGAAAGGGGCAGAAGCACGTGAACATTTTTTATTTCTCCCCTCGACTGCATATGTCACAATTTTGCCCCCTCGCAACAGAGAGGAATGAGAATTTATACTCCAGATATGTATAATACATCAAAATACATTCTACTATAATGTAGAGTTAGTAAGAAAAATAAAAATAATAATAAAAGTGTTTGAAGCAAATGTGGTAGTAAAAGTTTAAGATTTGAGATAACTTTGCAGAACAAAATGTGTGTTCCTTATCTTACTCTGTTTTTCTGTGTGCTTAAATTATATAGGTAATAATAAACTTTTAGCCTTTGTCAATCAAAAAAATTCCTCTGAATAACATTTGACAGGGTCTGACAAATGAATGATCACCAAGAAGAATCATATTACACAAAGGAATGTCTCTTATTTCTATTCTGCTCTCCATGCTGTCTGAACTTAGAGACATGTCACTCAAGTACCAGTCAGCACTGACCTTTCTTACCTGAGCAGACCACAGAGGCTGTGTTTCCATGGGCACAGGCAGGAACACCCAGGGCAGTCACAGGGCAATTCCACAGGAAGGACTCAGATCCTGAGCAGTGGAATCGGTCTCTCCAGATCTCATCTCCTCCTTCTACAAAGTACTCTCCCTTTGGGGTGGAGATGGCGACTCCACAGCCCAGCTGACGGCAAACAACATTGGCATTGGCCATATTCCAGTGGGAGGCACAGAGTGTTCTCCAGCCTCCAGAGGTCTTCATCTCCACTTGACCCTCACACTGAGAGCTGCCATTTTTCATGAGCCTGACTTCTGTGTACTCTGGCAGGAGAAGACAGGATTTCAGTAACATCTCACGTTTGTTACCACATCAGAGTGTGCAAAAAGGTTAAAGTCCTGATGTGGGTCTCACCTGAGCAGACAACTTGCACAACCCCTCTGTGGGGGCAGCTGCCTGCAGGACAGGGCACTCTGGGGCAGAACCAGAGCTCAGGCTCCCATCCCTTACACTGGAACTCTTCAGCCCAGACCAGTTCACTGGCCACTCTGAGGGGCAGGTCCAAGAGAAAAGATGCTGCCTTGCCACACCCCAGCTCTGCACAGATGACCTGGGCAGTGGGTAATGTGAAATTCCCATAAGGTACTGGAGTCCATCCTCCTCCAGAATTCACTTCCACTCGCCCAGAGCAAGGTCCACCTCCTCCATCCAAACGCACAAATCCTGTGGAAGAACATAACCGTTACAATGGTTTGGAATTGGGAGCTACATGTCTCAGGAAAGCTGTGAAATATATATATATATATATATAGCTGTCAAATATATATATATATATATGACAAATATATATATATATATATTTGTATATAATATGAACATATTATTCTATGTATTACAATATACCTGTGTGTTTGTCTGTCTCTGTATGTGTCAGTCTACCTCCTTTTTAATAAGCCCTATCCCCTGAATTTGAACTCACTGTAGAAAAAGAGTAGGATTAACTTTTCACTCTTTTATCCTCAGAAACTTTCAGTTCACAAATAATCATTACAACTAAGTTAACATTTTTTAAAAAATGGAAAAATTCAAAATGTATCAAAAATGACAATTTATATTAATTTCCCACTTAGAGATGAGAAAATATCCCACTAAATAGTGTGAGACAGAGATGGAAAGTAGGTTATGGTGACTAAGATAATCTGGCTTCTTTGCACCACCCTTCCCATTAAATAAAACAGAGAATTTAGAAGTAAGATAAGCTGGGCAAGGTGGTGTATGCCTATAATCCCAGTGTCTCTGGAGGCTGAGCCAGGAGGATCTCAAGTTCAAAGCAGCCTTAGTAATGGCAAGGTGCTAAGCTACTAATTGGTCAGTCTGTTTCTTTCTAAATAAAATACAAAAAGGGCTGGGGATGTGGCTCAGTGATTGAGTGCCCGTGAGTTCAATCTCTAGTACCTCTCCACCCCCAATAAGAAGTAGGATCAGAAGTTGTCAAGATGTTTGAAGATGCTTATTTGCCTTTTTGTTTTGTTTCAAGGGATCATTCTGTTTCTAATAAGCAGAATTGGAAGAAGCCATTAGACATCTATTGAAGTTGATCAGGAAGTGATTTTGAATATTTATTCCGAACTTTGGGGCAAAATCTGACTACAGATATGCAATTGTAATGTAATTGTAGGTTGATGTCCTGAAGAAGGGAATCCTTTCTCTGAAAAATAACATGTTTAATAATTTTTCTTTTCAAAGTAAGTCATCAAAATGGAATTTACCCAGTGTGGGTAAAAATGCCTCCAATGGGAAAGGATAAAAATTCAGCAGAGAGGTCTTCAAAGGAGACACAATCTGAACTTTCCTCTTAGGCCTGATATAGGAGAAAGGTGTACAAAGACAATATTAAGAGTCTGCTTTCCTGTTTTGTTATTCACAACACTAGCATGTTTTCAGAATTTGTCACTTTCCAGATGTGTTTCTAGGTGCTGTGTTTGTATATTTAAAGAAAATAATGTCATCATCTTTGTAGAGCTTTACATCCAGTGGGGAGAAACCCAGTTTTAAGCCATTTAATGTTTGTGAGTCACTGGGTGAAAAAGGAATAAAAATTGCATCTGCAGAAAACTATTGATTTATATGAATCATTCTCACTTGAGTAAATTAAAAATTGCATCCATTTATATCCTTGTCTGATCTTTTGCTCCATAGACACATTGTTCCTCTGAGCCTTTTTCAGGTTTCTTCTGAGAGTATCATCCAATAGACCTTTTCTTCCTCTATTCCAATCTTCTCAATACCTCAGCTTTGAGTCACTCTTGCAAATCATTTTCCTCCTGAAATGAGGAATGTACTGAGGAGTGTACTGAATTCACACAATGTACACAGGTTGCCCTTCCTACACCAGGGTCTTAAGTATAGCAAAGGTAATTCTTATGTGCTCTTTGTCAATCTTTGAAGGCTATCCCCCAGATCCTGTAAGCTTCTTCTGTATTCTTCAGAAAATTCCCATGCATGTTATGTCAAATGAAAAGATTAATTCACTTTTTATGGCTAAATAGTATCCCATTGTATTTCATTTATTTGTCCATTTATCAGCTAATGGGCATTTAGATTATTTCCATTTCTTAGCTACTATGAATAGTGCTGCCAGAAACATGGGAGTCCAGATGTCTCTTTAACATGGTGATTTCACTTCCTTTGGACATATGCTGAGCATTGGGATTGCTGTATCATATGGTAATTTGTGGGCACTGGATGTTTGATAATGTCTTTGTACCTCCCTTATTTCTGAAGGATAGAATTTCTGGATTCAATATTCTTGATTTGCAGGATTTTCTTCAGATTTATGAAAATCTCATGGCACTCACTTCTGACCTATATGTTTACTGCTGAGAAGTCTGCCATCAGGTGAATTGGAACTGCTTATATATGTTATTTCTTTTTTTCTCTCTTGATGTCTGAGAGTCTTTATCTTTCATCTTTGAGAGCTGTATTATAATTTATATTGATAAGAATCTGAGGCTCCCAGTCACAACTGCTCAACTAACTTTTCACTGTCATGCAAACACTCAACTCTCTCCATGTTACGCTGCTGGGGGTTGAGGAGGAATGAGGTAGGTGACCACCAATGCTGCAAATGTCCATTTGTCTGTTGTCACATCCTAAAGCCACAGCCTGCCAAGGACTTGGGAGGGACAAAGAAACTAAATACTATGAGCTGCCTACTGCTGAGGTGGACTCAAGTCTCCAAATTCTTGCAACCAGCCACAGGTGCTGCAGGCTCTTCTTGACTCTGTCCCACCAGCACAGAGGTTGCTTTGTTATCTCCCCTTCTACATTTGAGACCTCTAATTCTTACTTGGTGCTGGGTATGATCATGGTGGGCCTGGACTGAACTTCAAGACAAACTCCTATGCCAACACTCTGCCTGGTCCTCTAAGGAGTCTTGCTTTCTCTGATTCTGCTAGAGGTTGGAATAGTTGTGGTGGAGACAGTCTCTTTGCTGCCCAACTGAACACAGTTCCAGAGTCTCAGTGTAAGGTTACTGGCAAGGGGACAGTATTGTTGGGCTCTGTCAGGCACCAAGTTTCACTATGGCAGGCCTAATCCTGGGTTTCAAGTGTAAGGTCTGGGTTTAATTCCCTTTCCATTTCCCAAGAATGCATTTCCCTTCATGTTGGGCTGCTTGAGGTTGGGAAATGGGCAAGTCTTATCTTCCTTCCTTCTTCAATGTGTCTTTTCTTTTTATTGTAGTAAAAGCAGGCACTCATCTAGGTTATTGTCTCTTATGAAGCCAGTTTGGTGTGTGAATAACAATTAATATGGTGCATTTGTGGGAGATCATTGAACAACCATCCCGGTTCTAGTCCTAAACTATATTACATCTTACTATAATACATATGCATTAATATTTTATTACATCTAACATTAATCTGCCAGCACAGAGTTAAATCCATATCCCAAGTATAAGTTTATTGCTTTGAAAAAGAAATGTAGAAAGAATCTATTGTAGTGATGATGGAAGGGATATCTGTGACTCAGAACATTTCATAGTTCTCTGGCCCTTCCTACCAATGAGTTGATAATTCTGATGTCTAAATCTGGAAAGAAGAATTGCAAGTTTGCAGTAATCCATAATTCCCCTGTGATGTGTTTAATCCCATCCCTGTGCCCATACACCTACTAACCCAGTGCAAAACTGTTTCTGGCTATATATATATAAACACTTAATTCAACTGAAAAAAAGTGAGCCCCATTCTTGTCTGTCTTTTGAAAAGATTATATGCATGGTAATTTATAGGTAACCATACAAATAGTAAATCATAGAACGAGAATTATGAAGATGATTTTATGTGGAATAATTCTATAAAGAAACCTTATCTCGTCAAGTATGACTGCCGAGAAGAAAAAAGACACTACCTGAGATTTACAAGAAAGAATTAAATAAAGCCCATCATATACTGCTGTTTTGAGTAACCAGCATTCATGGGGACCTCTTAATCCTCCATGGCTCATCTGTCTCTTATTTCCCCAAGATCAGATAAACACTTTTGGTCCTTTCCATTCTCTTATGCTGTGGAGAATGTTCAGACCCTACCTGAGCAGATGACACTTGCATCCTCACTGTGTACACAGTCGTGCTGCCCCCAGCCATGAGATGGACACTTCCACACTTGGTCCTCCTCTCCTGTGCACTGCAGCTGGCTCAGCCAGATGGGCCCTGATCCTTCCCCAAATTGTGCATGGTGCATGGCATCAATGGCAACTCCACAGCCAATTTGTCTGCACACCACATGGGCATCTCTCAGGTCCCATCTCTCATCACAGACAGTGCCCCAGGAATGTTGGTGAAGGATCTCCACTCTGCCTGCACAGCGACTGCCACTGTCCACCAGGCGGAGCTGTGGGGTCTCTGAGGAGAAAACAATTATGTCAATGGTTGTATTTACAAAGCAAAAGAGGAGGATTTTCTTGTCCTATGCTATTCCACCCTCAACAAATCAGTTGGCGGAATCCACTTTCAGATTGCAGAGCTTGCTGTGTAACACATGGAGTCATTTACACCAGGGCAGCAGCTAAGTTTCAATTCCTACCAAAATGAGTAGAAGAATCAATTATGTAAAAAATAAGAAAAGAGATTAAACACAGTATAATATAGTTAGATGTCTAGGTACAAATTATTATGTAGCTGCTATCAGAGTTAAACTTATTATTTGCAGAGTTCTCCATAGGATCTGGTAACACAATTCTAGAAATGTTACATTTCCTATCCTGAGTAGTTAAAAGTCTTTTTCTGAATGATTTCTAAAGGTCAATGGGGCCACCATCTGGTTCTTATAGAGCGCACACACTTGAGTGCTAATGGCCTAATATACGGAAGGATAAGAACACAGTAGGGAGAGTAAGAAACTGGGATGAGATTATCAGAAACTTCAGGTGACAGCCATGAATCCAGGAGAAATCATAACCATATGGTCATTAAGACTGGAAAATGGATGGACCATTTTTGCCTCCAAATATTGCACTAATGATTCTAGGCTTCAGAGCTCAGATTGGATATGTAATGCCAAAACTTGACTTACTTTAGGTAGGTTGAGCAACTTCTCAAAAAAGATGATGTCAGATATTGACATTGCTCAACACCCATAGAAAGTTACTCCCCCCCCCAAACAAAACAAATCTATGCTTGGAATTCTTTTCAGGAGTTGTTATTGTGCAAAAATAGGAGTTTTGGGCAAGGAAGTAAGTAGCAGAAAAGAGGTACCTTTGCTGTGACTTTGAGTGAAAAAGGTTTGAGGAGAGAAAGAAAGGAGCTAATAAAGAAGTCATGATACATTTAAACTACAAGGAGAAGCAGAAAGGCAGCCAAGGAACGTACAAAGCAATTTACAACTTCATCTCCAGCTGCCTGGGTGAGGGAGGCAACTTGCAAATATGAAGTAAGCTGGAGAATGGAGACAACCCAGATGGTGTCTTACCTGTGGGAGAAACACATGGTTCTTACAAGCTTTAGATCAAATCTGGGGCATTGTTCTGAGAGGGAGTACTCTTGTACAACAAGCAAGCTTTAGAGAAAAAATTCACCACATTGCCCAGCAAGCTCTCAGAGTGATATAACCAGGAGCTATCTTAAGAAGTGGTCATTGTTAGGAACTTAACTGCTCTGAGATTTAGACAATATGTGGTAATCACAATTTTAGGTCCCTGGGCCACCCTGCCACAGTGATTGGGTGGAAGTTAATGTTCTACAGTCTCAGATAGGAAGAGTGCCTGTCACAAACATGCTGAAAGCATTGAATTACAGAGGAGGGATGGAGGTCTCATTGGTAAGTGGTTCAACCCTCTATTTAGAAGAACAATTCCAGGCACATGTGGTTGCACATAGGGACCTGGTCTGAGAGCTAAGCGACAACATCTGGCAATTCACAGCTTCCCCATGTCACCTCTCCAGGGATTACACTATTTCCCACAGGCTTTTCAGGGATTCACCATGGCTAGAACACTTGGCACACCCCTAACTCTAGCTAATATAGGGAAATTTCACCTTAATGAAGCTGTGGCCTAGTCCTGGTGAAGTATTAGAGGATATTTCAACTTAATGTAAAGGGAAGAAACAAATCCACATTTGAAGATCCAGCCACAAATAGGCATAATTCCTGCTCCTGGACAATCTCCACCTTAATTATTAATTATTTCTCCAGAAATAAATAATTCAAATGTTGTGGAAAAAGTGCCTTGAAGGACCTAAGTACAGGTTGCTTCCATACCTCTCAGACCAAATACTAAAAAATAATACCACAGGAAGAATGCCCTATACATTGTGCTGTCCATAACAACACACCTGAATTACCAGAAGGGCCTCATTTGTATGAGAACTATAGAGAAAGATGTGCTCTGACACACACACAAAAAATACCTGGAGTTTCAAAACCCATTATTACCAGACAAATAAGCCACAGAGAAACAACCTACAATGTCCACTTTGAATTAATATCAACACTACAAGACACCTACACCTCAAGGCATATCATTAAGAGAAAGGTGCTTACTAAGAATATCTTCACATAACAGATTTCTAAACAGAAACAATAAAGGCCAGGAGGGCGTGGAGTGATGTCCTTAAGACCTTGAAAGAAAACAACTTCGAACTACATGACTATGTTCAGCGAAGTTATCTTTTAGAATCAAAGAAAAATAAGTCTTTTGAAGATAAGTATCAGTTAAAGGAAATTTGAATCACTGAACATACACTGTAGAAGATAGTGGAGCAATCCTACATACAGAGTAGGAAGCAAGACAATCTAGCCTTGAGAGCATAGAAAAGAACAAATCTCACTAGAAGAGCAGATAAACAAGTGAGAAGGAGGAAAGAATCAAACATTATCAATTCAGTAAATTGACAAAACTCCAAGATGAATAAGGGAGAAAGATGTGACTATAGATTATTCAAGCTGTCCAGAAAAAAAATGATAGGCAAAGAGAAATTGAAAATCTGTAAGACAAAATAAGACCAATAGGGTAAAGTGACTATATGAGGAGAAAACAAAGTAGGCAGCTGAAGGCTTCTATTTTCCAGGGATGTTTGAGGCAAGATCATCATTTAAGTATATGGTGGAGTTAAAATATCAGCATGCAGGAGATCTGAGAATTTGTAAAATAACATGTTATAGAAAGGGCAAAAGCACATGTGAGAGAAGCAAACTGGAATATGGGCCAGTGTGGATGGTCCATCAGAGGTTGGATTCAAATTCAAAGAGAATAGCAGGATAATTTCATATTATAACAAGATACAGTACTTGTCCATGATTCAGCAGTCCTTGCCTAGTCCAGTACAGGCAGGCAAGGAGGGCATGGAGTGATGTAGTTAAAACATGAGTTAGGTAGTTAAAACAACCATTCTTGTCATTGACAGATAAAGAAGAGACTAGGGAATTGAGAGTACTTGAAGGGGAAGGATTATAATGGAGCATCATGTTGTCTAATCAGGGTAAGAAGAACATGTGCAATCATGAGGAGAGTGGAAACCTGGGAAACTGATAAAGGAAAATGTTTGTAATATGCATGAGGATGAAATATCTGGAAAAGGAGCATCAAGAATATGTGCCATAAGGAAAAGAAGCAATAGTCAGAGAGGGAACAATGCAATCAAGATCTCAACCTGGACAGTTAGTGATGGTCAATAGTGTGGCCATACAGGGAGATGCAATGTAAGTGGAGTGCTTCAAAGGGAGAAAGCCAATAATTGAGAGGCCAGGATGTTATCTCAGTTGTGTGCAAGGTTCCTGGAAGCACCGGGAACAGGAGACAGAGGAGCCTGAGGAGCCTAGTACTTCAGACTTCCTGGATGAGGGGAATGACCAAGCTGGAGAGTGACACCAAAAGTGCTGGCAGGTACCACCTCATGGGCAAAATCAAACTGTTGGACATGGAGAAAAAGAAAAGAATTCATTAAAAATTACAGGGCACAGCAGAAATATTCTAAGAATAGCGTGGATAATTACAAACTTAATTCTAAGATTTGACATAGAAATAAAAAGCATGTTGAAAAGGAAGCACAGAGCCTCCAAATGACAGGAACTTCATTGTTCTCAGAGGACAGCCAGGTTTTTATCAGAACAAGAAAATTAAGGGGACATTACAGGTCTTAAAAACATTAGAAGATGATAGGCTTCAATTTCCAATAGGTCCCATGGAACATTTTCTGGGAGAGGGATGAAGTGGGCATTAGTTTGCAGTAGCATATGGATAAAGGCTCAGAGGAGGTAATATCAACCAAGATCACTGGGACTGTGAGGAGGTGACTTCAAAGAAGAAAATAAGGGGAGACCAGGCCCCTCATCTCACAGCAGTTCCCCATGATGTGGCAGAGGGGAAGATTAACAAACATCTTTTCAACAGGATTATTATTTGGGACATGCTTTGAAGAGGCCTTGAGCTCTTCCTACCCATCCAGGTAATCATGTATCACTCTTCTCACCCTCTTCCTCCTCTGCTCATGGTATCTCAAGGTCACTATGCTCCTCCCAAGTCAGTACTTACACTGATAAATCCTCTACTTTCTTCTCTCATTGAACCTCTAGTGCTCCTTAAGTTCTCAAAAATTATTTTTCTCTTTTTTCCAAAATCACACATTTCCATAGCACCTTATACATGGTTGTGTAGTTGGGCTGGAGTGCAAACTCCATGAGGACAGGGGCAGTATTTTCTTCTTGTGTCTGTCTTCCTGCCTGGAATTACTTTTCTACTTACATGTCACTTGATTACTTTCCATCAACAAAATAAACTGAGAGGTATTCTGTCTGGTGTAGATGGATTTCAGAGTAAAGAGTCCAATATACTTGATTCCCCAAATTGTTCCCCACTGGTTTGAAAGTTGGAGGGAGATGAAGTGTTTACTCCTAACCTCAGTTTCCTCCTCTGAAATAAATGATCACCACGATACCTATCATCAGTTGATTGTGACGATTAAGCCACATTATTTGTGGTATGGTGGGGTGGGGAAAAAGTGATAGCACACAGTAAGCAATGTGTATTACTGAGGTCTAATCATTCACTCTCTCACTAAGGAAATACAGATTAATTAATATAATCTGAGACTGCATTAGCTAATTGCCAAGAATGTTTATCAGAGCCTAACTTGATGCTCCCATATGCTCAGTTCAGTCTCCGGTACTTTTCATATAAATTTCTATCATTGCAGATTTTCTTTTTTTTTATGATGAGAGAGAGAGAGAGAGAGAGAGAGAGAGAGAGAGAGAGAGAGAGAGAATTTTTTAATATTTATTTTTCAGTTTTCGGTGGACACAACATCTTTATTTTATTTTTATGTGGTGCTAAGGATCGAACCCAGCTCCCCACGCATGCCAGGGGAGCATGTTACCACTTGAGCCACATCCCCAGCCTGCAGATTTT